CATGGGGCGCGGCAGCGGCACCTTTGAGCGTCTCCTAGGTAACGCGCCCCCCGCCAAGCAGACTGGGCGCTCTCTTCCCGGGTCTCTGCCCCGGGCTGAGTGAGCGGGACCTCGGCCTGAGGGCCCTACCGCCGCCAGCCCTGTCCCCCGGGCCCGGCCGAGGACCGGGAGGGGTCGCGGTCCTTCCAGGAGGCGAGCGAGAGGCGGGTCCGGAGCCCGCAGCCACGGCCCCGGGTCCCGGGCCCCGAGCGCGGCTCGATTCTTCCCGCGCGGCCCGTTCCTGTACCATTTCAGGGTTCTCAGCGGCATGGCGGCCGACGCCAGCAGAAATATGGGTGGGGGTCCGCGGAGAACACGGGCGACAAGCCGCAGAGGGACTGCCGCTGTGGTTTTCACTCCGATTCTTTTGAGCAGGGCAGTTTGCAAATCCTCCCCATTAAAAAAAACAGATACCAGGGCTCTCGGTCTTACACAGCTAGCGTCTGACCCAGTGGGTCAGAAGTCCTGAGTCACGAGAATGTGTGACTCAGGCCCGTGCCAAAACCTTGACAGATCAGAAAAGGCCGCGATTGTATGGGATTCGGGGTTCTGAACATTGGGCCCCAGCGGGTGAGGCTAGTGGGGTCCTCACTGGGACCTGCCGAGCTTTTTTGAGTGCTGCTTTCTGGGGAGCTGAGGCAGGCAGCCCCGGGAAGCATCTTAAGGGTCTGCGAGGCGGTTCCTCCCTCTTTCCGAGGCGTAGAGCTTGGCCTATCCAAGCTTTCAAGCTCTGGGTCACACGTTTTAGGACAGAGAGTAGGGATTTATGCGTATCCCTCCTCCTTCAGTGAAAAGGCGCCGTGTGTTTATGGGAGGAGGTGGCCTGTGCCTTAGTGGTCAGCCTGGAGCCACCCTGTTCCTTTCTGGATGTGGTTTCAAGGGAGACCTCACATGGGGCGCCTTCCTCGCTTTCAGAACTTGCAGAGTGAACATCTGACCCTCATGGGATAATCCATTGGCTGGAAGATGAATTCAGGAATTTACTGAGTCAGTAGGGGAACAGACAAGGCTCATGATATCCTGTGTCTCTCCTGCAGCCTCTCACAGAGTCTGTCTGACCAGGTGGGCTGCCCGAGGCCACAGTGATGTAGACAGAATAAAGGTGTTAGTTGGCAAAGCTTCCCTGGAGGTCAGTTCTGCTTTTGTCCCACAAAGCACTTGGAGCTGAGAGCT